GCGCACTAGGAATATTCATCTGGCATTTTATCAACTTGATATCAACATGAAATGTCTCCCCACATACCTCCTTACGTTTCGCTTAGTAGTTAAAAATCTTAACTTGGATTACTTTTTAGTTTGCCACTTCAGAGTTCCAAAAACTCTCATTTTCAAAACGAGGCAGTGTTTGCTCGTGAAAGTGAGTTTAATCTGCATGATAATTAACAATTATTTTCATATCAATTATACTTCAGAACGCATTTATGCAACAAGAGGTTTTCAGAACCCTTTATTTGTGATATCGGAGCAATATATTTTGTTCATTCATTTATTCATTTTTACCACCACATTACAAGTTATTGAAACATCTATTGTCGGTCCAATGTGTACAGTGTGCAAACGTATTTATTTTTTTAGTTACTTATTTGTTTTTATTTTAGTTCCTAGGTTAAGTGGAAAAGAACAGCTTCTTTTCAGTTTTGTCAAGATGGCGGAACCGGAGAGTATCGGAGGCGGCACTGATACAGATCACCATGACAACAAATTAGTAAAGGTAGGTTTTCACACAATGCTGTTGTGTATTTATAGCTAATCCTTGATGTTTGAATTTTAATGTTAAATGTTAGTCCACTAGAAGGTTTCTAGAGTAAGCTCTAATTATCATTCGCCAGCTTTGTTTATTTCCAGAAGGGGAAAGAATAGGGTGTATACTGTTCCATTGCAAATACAGCCGCCTCTCGTCGCTCTCCGTCGCTAGGAAATAGGGACCTTAAGATCCGAGGACGGCGACGGCAGCGAAAACGTCGCTGAAAAAGTAAATTCGCGTTCTTTCAATCTTCATCGCGATTACTCCAAGTCACTAAGTTTGTCAAATGCAGGTGGATCCTTCTAAAGTTGAATTCCTAAGAACCATATCCAAGTTCAGATAGAGAGAGGAAATTTCGTCGCCGCTTGTGTACCTCCTCTGTACAACGTGAAATTGGGCATTTTCACGTCGTAGCCGTGCAGTGACGGCAAAGAAATGTACAAAAAAGCGTGATGCACGTGCAAATGTGTTGTTTTGGTTACTAAACCTATTGCTTTTTTGACGTTCTTCGCCGCCGTCGCCGTCGTCGGATCTTAAGGTCCCTAATGGCCCGACCCTACGGCGTGGAGCGATGTGAGTGGGCTGTATTTACAGGATAGTAGGATTTCTTGTCTCTAATTTCATGCTGCTTCCTCACACGACAAATATTTCACCGCTTTGATCAGGCTGGAATTTCTTTCGCAGGGAGCAATTCTAAAATAAAGACCTTTAGATTCGTGAGCATGGACGACTCAGAGGTTTTTTTGCCTCTTCTCAGAAAATAGTAAGCCTGGAAAGTTTTATTGCAAGTTAGAACGGTTATTTTTATTGAAGGAGTTTGAGCCCTCTCCTGATCGCAGAATGATAAAACTTCTAACATTTGATAACTTATTTCCGCCTCCATGACATTCTCGCTAAAACGCGTAGTAGAATGACCACGGCTGTCACGTTTTCCCGCCAAAATGATGTTGGCTCACGCAACGCACTTCTTGCCATTGAGAAAATCTCTTCCTTGTAGTCGTCCTCGTCTTAGAATCTAACGGTCACTATTGAGAAACACTCTTAATCTAGAAATGATTACCAACTGTAGTACTCTATTTCCTGTAGGGTAATACCTTCAATACCAGTGAGAGTAAGAAGAGACGTCATCGCAAGCGTAAAGGGTCCAGTACACCTGAACTTCTGCCTGACAGTCCTAGCTATGAAACGTCCAACGGACCCGAGCCTTCCCCTGAAAGTCATTCTAGTGCTGACGCGCCTAGGTCAGCGGGTGTTGTCAGTCGTACAGCTGGGCTGCTTTTCTCGAGTGCTCGTGGGTTCTTTGGTGGCCTTCACAATCCATGGAAACAATCAAAACCTTCGACTGTCCATAGTGATCCCAATATATCCGCAAGAAGCGAACTGAACCAAGCGAGCAAAAGCTCGCCGAGACCAAATAATCCGGGTTTATCCCGAGCAAAGAGTCTGGAGTTAGTTCCAGAGAATACATCAATTCAAAAACCTGCACCACCACCACCAGCACCGACCCTTTCGTCCGAGTTTGGCGTGATGTTGAAGCGCCCACCAGATTGTTATTACCCTAAGAAAGGCCCCGCAAAGAACATTTTTCCTGGTCCCGTGAAATATGGGAAATATGGCGTGTTAGATTCTCAGTTGGCATAACTAAGGCCCCTCGAGAACCTCACGCATTCCTCACTCCATCCTATTGAAAGTCCGTTTTTAAGGATGACTGGAGTATGAATTCGTTTGGTTTTCGGGGGTGCTGGTAGAAAAATACTTTGTGGAGAACCGTCAAAGTTATTGAACCTTTCTTGGTTTACAACGAAAGGCTCGTAATTGGTATACAAGTACAAAAATATCTTTGTTAAATTTTGTGGAAATACTTGACGAAAACTCCCAAATCCAGTCGCAGCTTTATTCTTCTTGGCAAATCCTTGGTTGCTTTTACAGAACTACTGTAAATGCTTGTATTTTAAGGCGCATAGTTCTGTCGTTTACTTAAAAAACGTAATTTGCCCTATAAAGACTGCTGCGGTCTTGCCAAAAATATGGTGGTCAAGTTGTTCCACTTACGGTTATGGTGAAGTAGAATATTACTAAGATTAGAATATTGTTATCCTAAGGCAGATATAAAAAGGAAGAATAAATAGAACGGGTCGTTTTGCTTGTTTTAGGAGTCATGGTCAGAGAGGTTGTCTTCTTTCAAGAATTTTGCCAAGCGTTCGACGTTTCACATCTTCCACAAGCATTTTTATTGTCGCACCAACTTCCAATATATTTTCCGAAATCTGTCATGCCCTTTCTTAGAGAGCCCAAGTAGCCGGCTCTTTTACAACCCTCGTTTTTGACTTGTGCCGGTCCATTCAAAATAGCCCTCCTGAGGAAAAATCCTAAGGGGTTGCTGTATACACAGACTAGACAATTGGTTATTTATCAGTTAGCTGGTACGAGAAAAAGATCTTGCACTACCTGTTTTGCCTTTTGCGACATGTCAGGCATGTGATCAAGCACATGTGTAATTCGGATTAACCTTTTAGCACACAAAGATACAACATAATGGTCTCCCTTTTCCTCTAATTTGAATCATTAGGCTGAATAGCCTGTCCTGTGAGGAACAGGGAGATTGCTTTTCTCGAGATTCTCAGCGTATCACTCAGAAATGACCACAAACTCAGGTAAAGTTTAAAAGCCTTTAATTTATTTTAAAGAATGACATCAAATATATAGAAACTGACAAAAGCTGGACATTCGTTTATGAAATAGGCCACTGTCGATATATCCATTGACGTCATGTCCTGAGAACACGAGGAAGAAGAGTGATGACTTTTGTTTCTTCTGGTTTTCTTGGCCTGGCTATGAGTTGGAAGAATAGCACGATATATCAAAGTGACCCCATTCATACCGAAGCCCCTACAATATTTTATCTTACTCCTGCCATTCAATAATTTATTATTATCATTATAAAATGAAGCAATATTATTATGTAAATACGCAATATGTATTAAATGAATAAATGTATAGTTGTATAAATTGACCATTGAAACGTTCTTGCTGGTGCTGACTTCGTTCTTGGCGTATGAGCCATTAAGTAAAAGAAATATAAATTATGCAGATCGAGGAGGGGTATCGAATGAACGCCGAGGTGGATAACTTCTTTCCCGTCTCTGACCCTGATTGTGTGCCTTTAGAGAATAGTGTGTTATATATACTGACTTCCAAACCAGACCTTAGCTGTAGAAATTGTAACAAAGGTTCCTGCATTGCTTATTGTATTGGCAGCATTGGTCGGAAATGGAATGTTATTTTTTCCGAACTGCCCTGATAATCCGAATCTTCACTTTTCATACCCAGACGTGGGTTTCCCAAGTAATCTGCCAATGACACTATTTGAAAGAACACAAAAATCTAAACTATAATCACTATAATTATTATTCAACACCAGCAAAGGTCTCTACAATAATTTTTTCTACTGCGCAAAATTGTTATGGTGAACCGAAGTGCCTTTTATCACCTTACTCCTGATCACACATTTTTGAGTCAATAGTTTGTTTCTCCAACATGACATGACATGACATGTTTATGCAATGGCAATGTTGGCAATGTTGTAATCTAACCTAACCGATTGAAACGTTCGTAACATTGAATTGTAGCCACGGAATTATGTGGTAGGTTATGTGGCGTCTGAGGAACTCTGAAGGCTATGATCAGTCACACTATACCGGATAGCCCTCGCACCGACACGAAAATAATACCTGATTTTGCTTCTGTCAAGAGAGGATAAAGGGTCCCCCTTTATCCTCTCTTGGCTTTTGTCAGTTCACATAGAAGAGCGGTGATTTTCCGGCTATTTCTGTTAAGGAGCGAAACTGCGCCGCCGCCGATCTTGAAAAGTGGATCATCAAATATCGGATAGATTTCTGCCAATTTTCGTCGCAGTGTGAAGACGTGTTCAGGTGAAATGAGTAGCAGCGAGCATAGGCTGGGACCCACCTGATATGAAAGTATATTTTTAGGAGAGAGCACTGTGATTTAGTACACGAAACTGGCCTCTCGGCCAACCGGCCGCTCTGGTACGATGTTCGATGTGTGTGGACGACTTGTTCCAGTTCTATACGGTTGTCGCTCATACTACCGGATTTCTTCAAAGAAGTCATGTTTATGTAGCCTGAAATTCAGACGTTACTGAGGGAGTAAAAACGACTCAAAATAGTTGTCTGAAATTTAGGCTTACGTGTAAGGTCATTGTGAAGATTCTCCTCCCCTCCCCTCCCCCTGCCCTCTTTTTTTCTGGGTGGGGGGGGGGAAGTTAAACAGGTTTAAATCTTCAGAACTGCAGCTTGTGCCTTGTGTCTTTTCTTGTTAGAATGCACGTTGTGTTTGTCTGGTTTTGATCTTATCAAGAGAAACAAAGTTGATGCTTTATGATGCTAACAAGAGTTGTCTTATTTCCGGTCACAGATACCGCAAGTCAGTGGAAGAATTACAGAAGAACTCGGATAAGAAAGTTGCCCTGTTGACCAATGCTACCAAGAAGGCAGAAACTATTGTATGTATGATCTTTATAATTCTTAGTGTTGGGAAAAAGTGGTGAGAGTTTCGAAGCAATCAGTAACTCTATCCTTTGTCGAAGCGAGTGTTCATGTTCTTAGCTTAACATTAATCTGAGGAAGTTGAACCTTCACAAAATAGAATAAACACCCGCTAATAAGAACCTGTGGATTAAGGACCTGCTGGCAGAAATTTGGCATTTTAATACCCAAAAATGTAAGAACCTGTTTAGCCAAGAAAAATCAAGCAGGTTCTTGTATCTGTCTTACAGGTAGATACTGTAAAGATAAACATTTTGACCAAGGAGTTTGACTTCGAGATTGCCAAGTGATATTACAAGAAGGTACTCACACCAAACTGTAATTACAGATAGGAGTATTACTGTAGTTCATACAACGAAAAAAAAGTTTATAAAAAGTACAGATTGTAATTGTCTTCATGATGTTTGCATGAAGGTTTGCAATGTACAGTTGTATTTAAGGACCAAACTCTCAAGTTTCGCAATTTTTCTGGTAGTCAACAATTATAATATCTCCTTCATAGAAATGAAGAACCTAATAAAGAACGTTCTTAGCCTAAATTACTAATAACTACCCCCCCAAAAAAGAGCCTTTTTTGCCAGGCCTCAAATAATGTAGGTTCTTATTAGCTGGTGTTTACTCTTCCGTGCATTTTCTACCCCTCAATTCGCAAAAATGAACGTTCACAGTTTTGTTTATCATCCTCTTAAAAATTTTCCGTTTGAGATTGGGCGAGATTAGTACAATAATAATATGGCGTGAATGCTCTACTTTGCAACACACGGATTTCGACTGAGCGTGCTCCGTCCTTGTCAACGATCTCAAGTGCTCAACGAATTAAAACTATGGAACAAGCTCGAGTTGGATGAATTAACTGCTGTGAAAGACAGTTTCAAACTTACTTCCACCCAGATGCTCTCTATTGGCCCGTCACTTGAAGATAACGTCAACATTGGTCTAGCGATGGTAGAACCTTTAGTGCAACCATTTACGTTTAATGGCGTTCGCCACGTTTCATCAAGCGCCGCGTTTGGTTTACGTTCTACAGTGTAGAAGATTTCCTGTGCAAATGCCTTGTTTACATGCACATATTAATCGAGCCAATGTTACTTCTTTTTAAATGTAAACTTTACTCACTCCTTCTATAGATCAACAACCAAAAGGAACAGATCACTAAACTGCAATCAAAGCTGGATAACCTGACCAACGCAGTTGCTGATATGAAAGCCCGTATGGATCCACTCAATAAGGAAGTGATGGAGCGCCATGTTATCGGTCTTTGCATTGAAATAGTTTTAATTCTTCTTCTGTTTCTACTGTTTGCAAAGAGAAACAATAATCAGATGACTTCTAACTCACCCGGGAGGTCAGTGCACCTTATGAACGGTCATGGCCCCCCTCGACTTGCAATTGAAGATAGCAAGCGCAGCAAATCCACTGTCTTGTCGGAAGGTGAGTACTACGTTCGCGCACTAGGAATATTCATCTGGCATTTTATCAACGTGATATCAACATGAAATGTCTCCCCACATACCTCCTTACGTTTCGCTTAGTAGTTAAAAATCTTAACTTGGATTACTTTTTAGTTTGCCACTTCAGAGTTCCAAAAACTCTCATTTTCAAAACGAGGCAGTGTTACTCGTGAAAGTGAGTTTAATCTGCATGATAATTAACAATTATTTTCATATCAATTATACTTCAGAACGCATTTATGCAACAAGAGGTTTTCAGAACCCTTTATTTGTGATATCGGAGCAATATATTTTGTTCATTCATTTATTCATTTTTACCACCACATTACAAGTTATTGAAACATCTATTGTCGGTCCAATGTGTACAGTGTGCAAACGTATTTATTTGTTTTTATTTTAGTTCCTAGGTTAGGTGGAAAAGAACAGCTTCTTTTCAGTTTTGTCAAGATGGCGGAACCGGAGAGTATCGGAGGCGGCACTGATACAGATCACCATGACAACAAATTAGTAAAGGTAGGTTTTCACACAATGCTGTTGTGTATTTATAGCTAATCCTTGATGTTTGAATTTTAATGTTAAATGTTAGTCCACTAGAAGGTTTCTAGAGTAAGCTCTAATTATCATTCGCCAGCTTTGTTTATTTCCAGAAGGGGAAAGAATAGGGTGTATACTGTTCCATTGCAAATACAGCCGCCTCTCGTCGCTCTCCGTCGCTAGGAAATAGGGACCTTAAGATCCGAGGACGGCGACGGCAGCGAAAACGTCGCTGAAAAAGTAAATTCGCGTTCTTTCAATCTTCATCGCGATTACT